CCTGTTGGCGGTGTTTTTTTATATGTGTCTCTGTCCACTCAAGTATATTATTTTGGGACATCCCAGATAGTAATGAATATAGCCTGCTTTGTGTCCAGTGATGTACAATAAAGAAAATTGGATTTTTTTCTACATACTTACCTGTAAAATCCATTTCTTGAAGTACATCACGGGACACAGTGATCCTGTCCCTCTTTCAGAGATTTAATTGCTACAAAACTGAGGTACTTCCTGTATGGGAGGGGTTATATAGGGGAGCACTTCCTTTTTGGTCTGCTATTGTTCGTTCACCTATAGGTGGTGCATAACTCAGATAGTCATGAATGTAACCTGCTCTGTGTCCCGTAATGTACTTCAAGAAATGGAGTTTACAGGTACCAGTAAGTATGTAGAAAAAAATCCAATTTTCTTTAGATTCTAAAGTTTAGAATAATGTCAGACACTGTCTGACCATCTGACTCTTTGCAGAAAGCTTCCCTCCATCGTGTAGTGTTGCAAAGTACCATACACAGACTTAGTTTAACCTTGCAAAACTCCCAAGTGAGTCAAATAGGAAATTAATTTCTGCAGTGTCAAGAAATTATAGAAAACACGATTCCAGAAAGTAAACATGTGATTAGCACTGAATTTTACAACAGAGAGTCTTTCCCAGAGTTGACCAACATTATTATCGCCTTTCAGTACAATCTTTCACAAATTGCTTGAACTGTTTCTACAATAATCAATCCATTATTTACTGTCTTCAAAATGCATTAGCTTTCCAATCCAAGAATGTTTAAATTCCGGTTGAAGTGAAGATAGATAGGAAAGTAATTTTGTTTCATATAGAATCTTCCATGTAGACTACAGTATTTCCCAAAGTATTTAATGGCACTCATGAAATTTTAGCAATTCCAACCAGGGAACGTGGAAAAAAAAGGGAAAGAAAAAAAAAAACATCACAAAGAAATAGTAAGGAGCATAAAACACAAGGGAAATGAGATGTTGGCAAATAAATTATACAAGGTCAAACAAAGGGATGACTACATAGGATTCTAGAATAAACGGATTATATATATTATCTGATCCCCTGCAGACTTTGTAAGTTTGCCCACTTACAAAGAAATGAAGGGTCTATAATTTTTTATCATAGGTGTACTTTAAATGACAAAATATTACCCAAAAATCCAGTAAAAACACACGACACATGCAGTTCAGTGAGAAAAATATGTATTTGATCCCCAAGCAAAAGATGACTTAGTACTTGGTGGAGAATCGCTTGCTAGCAAGCCCAGAGGTAAGATGTTTCTTGCAGTTGGTTACCAGGTTTGCACACATCTCAGGAGAGATTTTGGTCCACTCTTCTTTACAGATCTTCTCTAAATCCTTAAGGTTTCTTGGCTGTCACTTGGCAACTTGAAGTTTCAGATCCCTCTATACATTTTCTATAGGATTAAGGTCTGGAGACTGGCTAAGCCACTCCATGACCTTAATGTACTTCTTCCTGAGCCACTCATTTGTTGCCTTGATGGTAGGTTTTGGGTCATTGTCATGCTGGAAGACCCATCCATGACCCATCTTCAGTGTTCTGGCTGAAGGAAGAAGGTTCTCATCCAATATTTTACAATACATGGCCCTGTCCTTTGGCCCCTCAATGTAGCAAAGTCGGCCTGTACCTTTAGCAGAGAAGCAGCCCCAAATTATAATGTTTCCACCTTCATGCTTGACTGTAGGGATGGTGTTCCTAGGCTCATAGTCAGCACTTTTTTTCCTCCGAACACGGCGAATCGAGTTAATGCTAAAGAGCTCAGCTTTTTAGGTTTCATCTGACCACAGCACTTTCTCCCAATCCTTCCCTGAATCATTTAGATGTTCATTGGCAAACATCAGATGGGCCTGTTCATGTGCCTTCTTGAAGAGGGGGACCTTGTGGGCGCTGCAGGATTTCAATCCATGGCGGCTTATTGTATTACCAGTAGTTTGGTGAATGTGGTCCCAACTACCTTGACATCATTCACAAGCTTATCCCATGTAGTTCTGGGTTGATCCCTCACTTTTCTCATGATCATCCTTACCCCATGAGGCGAAATGTTGCGTGGAGCTCTAAACCAAGGGAGAATGATGGTTATTTTGTATTTCTTCCATTTGCAAATATTCACTCAAACAGTTGTGTCCTTCTCACTAAGCTTCTTGCTCATGGTTTTGTAGCCCATTCCAGCCTTGTGCAGGTCTACCATCTTGTCCGTGACATCCTTTGACAGCTCTTTGGTCTTGCCTATGGTGGTACGCAAGAAAGAGATTCTGTGGACAGGTGTCTTTTATACACATAGTGAGCTGTCGTTAGGAGCACCTTCTTAAATTGACAGGACTAATCTGTGTACCACATGAGCACATAGCAAGTCTGTGGAAGCCAGAAATATTGTTGGCTGGTAGGGGACCAAATACTTACAGTTGCAAGAAAAAGTATGTGAACCCCTTGGGATTATGTGGAGTTTTGCATGAATTGGGCATAAAATGTGCTCTGAACATCATCTAAGTCACAACAATAGAAGAACACAGTCTGCTGAACATAATACTACACAAACATTAGATGTTGCCACGGTTTAATTGCACATAACATGTAAACATTCACAGTGCAGGGAGGAAAAATTATGTGAACCTTTGGACATAATAACTGGTTGACCCTCCTTTGTCAGCAATAACCTCAACCAAACGTTTCCTGTAGTTGCAGATCAGACCTGCACAACGATCTGGAGTAATTTTGGACCACTTCTGTTCACAAAACTGTTTCAGTGTAGCAATATTCTTGGGATGTCTGGTGTGATTCGCTCTCTTAAGGTCATGCCACAGCATTTCAATCGGGTTGAGGTCAGGACTCTGACTGGGCCACTCCAGAAGACGTATTCTGTGCTGTTGCAGCCATTGTTTTGTTGAATTACTTGTATGCTTTGGGTCATTGTCCTGTTGCATCACCCATCCTCTGCGGAGCTTCAGTTGGCGGACAGATGGTCGTACGTTTTCCTACAAAATGTCTTGATAAAACTCTGGAATTCATTTTCCCATCAATGACAACTATCCGTCCAGGCCCTGAGGCAGCAAAGCAGCCCCAAACCATGATGCTCCCTCTGCCATGTTTTACAGTGGGGATGAGGTTTTGATGTTGGTGTGCTGTGCCTTTTTTTCTTCACACATAGTGTTGTGTGTTCTTCCCAAACAACTCAATCTTGGTTTCATCTGTCCACAGTATATTTTGCCAGTAGTGCTGTGGAACATCCAGGTGCTCTTTTGCAAACTTCAAACGTGCTGCAATATTCTTTTTGGACAGCAATGGCTTCCTCTGTGGTGTCCTCCCATGTACTCCATTCTTGTTTAATGTTTTCTTTATTGTAGATGTGTCAACAAAAATTTTAGCATGTGCCAGAGATTTCTGTAGGTCTTTAGCTGACACTCTGGGATTCTTCTTTACCTCATGCAGCATTCTGCGCTGTGCTCTTGCAGTCATTTTTACAGGACGACCACGCCTCGGAGAGTAGCAACAGTGCTAAACTTTCTCCATTTGTAGACAGTCTGTCTTACCGTGGACACATGAACATAAAGGCTTCTGGAGATACTTTTGTAACCCTTTCCAGCTTCATGCAAGTCAACAATTCTTGATCGTAGGTCTTCTGAGAGCTCTTTTCTGCGAGGCATGGTTCACATCAGACAGTGCTTCTTGAAACCAGTAAACCCAAAACAGGTGTGTGTTTTTTAAGGGCAGGAGAGCTGTCAGCAACACATCCAATATCATCACACTGATTGGAGTCAAGGTTGGCTCACTCCTGGCTCCAATTAGCTCTGGGAAAAGTCATTAAGCTAGGGCCTCACATACTTTTTCCTCCCTGCACTGTGAATGTTTACATGTTATGTGCAATTAAACCATGGCAACATCTAATGTTTGTGTAGTATTATGTTTAGCAGACTGTGTTCTTCTATTGTTGTGACTTAGATGATGTTCAGAGCACATTTTATGCCCAATTCATGCAAAACTCCACATAATCCCAAGGGGTTTCACATACTTTTTCTTGCAACTGTATTTTACTCAATGAACTGCAACTCAATTTATAATATTTGTATAGTGTTTTTGCTGGATTTTTGGTTGATATTCTGTCTCTATAATTTAAAATACATATGATAAAAATTATAGACATTTAATTTATTTGTAAGTGGGCAAACATACAAAATCTGCAGGGGATCAAATAATTATTTTCCCCGCTGTGTATATATATATATATATATATATATATATATATATATATATATATCGTATTTTTCGCTCCATAAGAAGCACCTGGCCATAAGATGCACCTAGGTTTTAGAGGAGAAAAATAAGAAAAAAAATATTCTGAACCAATGGACTGCAGACATAGTACAGGAAATGACCAGAGACTGCAGACACTGTACAGGAGATGACCAGAGACTGCGGACATAGTACAGGAGATGACCAGAAAGTGCGGACATAGTACAGGAGATGACCAGAGACTGTGGACACAGTACAGGAGATGACCAGAGACTGCAGACACAGTACAGGAGATGACCAGAGACTGCAGACACAGTACAGGAGATGACCAGAGACTGCGGACATAGTACAGGAGATGACCAGAGAGTGCGGATACAGTACAGGAGATAACCAGAGACTGCAGACATAGTACAGATGACCAGAGACTGCGGACATAGTACAGGAGATGACCAAAGGCTGCAGACATACTACAGGAGATGATCAGAGACTGAGGACGTAGTACAGGAGATGACCAGAGACTGCGGATATACTACAGGAGATAACCAGAGACTGCGGACATACTACAGGAGATGATAAGAGACTGCGAACATACTACAGGAGATGACCAAAGACTGCGGACATAGTTCAGGAGATGATCGGAGACTGCAGACACAGTACAGGAGATGACCAGAGACTGCAGACAGTACAGGGGATGACCAGAGACTACGGACATAGTACAGGAGATGACCAGAGAGTGCGGATACAGTACAGGAGATGACCAGAGACTGCAGACATAGTACAGATGACCAGAGACTGCGGACATAGTACAGGAGATGACCAAAGGCTGCAGACATACTACAGGAGATGATCAGAGACTGCGGACGTAGTACAGGAGATGACCAGAGACTGCGGATATACTACAGGAGATAACCAGAGACTGCGGACATACTACAGGAGATGATAAGAGACAGCGAACATACTACAGGAGATGACCAAAGACTGCGGACATAGTTCAGGAGATGATCGGAGACTGCAGACACAGTACAGGAGATGACCAGAGACTGCAGACAGTACAGGGGATGACCAGAGACTACGGACATAGTACAGGAGATGACCAGAGACTGTAGACAGTACAGGGGATTACCAGAGACTGCAGACAGTACAGGGGATGACCAGAGACTGCAGACAGTACAGGGGATGACCAGAGACTGCGGACCTTTGGGGAGGGAGGGGGAGCAGGTGCCTAAATTTGACAGGTACCCGCTCCTACTTCCGCGGAGTTGTCCTCCCTTTAGTGTGTGCACCACTGAGCATGCACCAGAATCGCTGCGCTTTGTGAATGGCCCTGGGTCTTCTGGGACCTGTCATGTGTCCCAGAAGACGCCGGACCATTCACAAAGCGCAACGCTTCTCGCACGTGTGCGGTGGGCACCCGGCTGTCACAGCCGGGTGCCCACACTAAAGATGCTGGAGCGGGAAGACTGCGTAGCGCTGGACCGAGGAACAGGTAAGGTCCTGCTGCAGAGAAAAGCTGAGCAGCCGGACCGGTATTCTGACACGGTGGTGGCGGCTGAAATACCGGACCGGCCGCTCCATATTTGCTCCATAAGATGCACTGACATTTTCCACCCTTTTTTGGAGGGAAAAAAAGTGCGTCTTATAGAGCGAAAAATACGGT